GATTAGTAATCAGTCAGCATTGTGCCTGAATGCAGATTGCTGACGGGGGTGATGGACCTCGTCAGAGCCACAGTCCAGCCCGTATTTGGCCTCGTACATTCCTGATTCGGTACATTCAAACGTGTTTCAATAGGAGGTCACGTGACCGGGCGACAGACGACCAAAGCAGCGTTACACGTCACTGGTGTTCAGATCCAGCTCGCCGTTTCACATCAGGCCAGATGATAAATATGAATAAAGGTTGCTAAAAGGTACATTTTACTAAATAATTAAGACATTTGACTCTAGCACATAGTAAGAAACAAACACATTTTATTATCTTTATATTTTAAAGTACTCTTCTGCAAATTTAGCATTAAAAACCTATTTTTAGTGTAACAAACGTGTTTGTTATTGTTTCTCTTATGATTGCATGAGTATGTCATTCAGTTATCTTACATTTTATTATTGCAAGACTTGTGCCTGATGAACAGGTCATTTCATAACTTCTGATAATGACGCTTGGCTGAGAGTTTTTATTAATTAAATCCTGTTTTTAAAGTCTCCCAGACCAGTAAGCTGCTGTCCGTGTTGCCAAGCTAATGTGTAAAAAGTGTAAAAAATGTTAAATGTTTTATAGTTTTACTACTAAATACTTTACTACTGGTTGTTTCTTTGGTTCTAAGACGAAAGATTTAAACCAGCTTTGTCACAAAGACATTTGGAAACAACAAACTGGTTTTGACCAATTCTACTGTAGACTAATAGTCCTATAAAGTGTCTTTGCTAGCGTTCACACTCATTTCTTATACATTCCCTGATTTTTTTCTGATTTCCAAACACTTTATTTGGATAATCAGTTATTATCCGAACTAGGGTCACTGGGAGCTGGTGTCCATCTGCAGCAGTCATCAGGTGAGACGCGTGGACACCTTGGGCAGGTCTCCTGTCCATCACAGGGACAAACAGAGACATGGGATCTCCAGTTAACCTAACATGCATTTTTTTCTGGTCTGTGTGAAGAAACCGGAGCACCTGGAAACCCCACATGCATGAGAAGAACATGCCAACTCCATCCAGAAAGGCCATTGATGGGATTCAAACCTGCAACCTGGCTGCACAATCATGCAGCCCTGATTTGAACGCAAATGTTCAAAATATCCCTTCGTGCATGAAACAAGATTACTCCTTATTAATTTGACCCAGTGGAAGTTTATAAGCAGTCCTCAGGCTCATTTGGTTTCTTGGTCCGTTGTTTGAACTTTCCCAGCTGAAAACCGTACAGCTTTATTAATGAACACGCCGGCCGTTGGAGGTATTATTTGTCAGTCTGACTGGCTCGTAGTGATGGATGTGTGTGAGTTTGATTTATCGCGCTGCGGGTAGTTAAAGGTTGTGTGAAAATGAAAACTTTATGAAGATGACCTTGTGAGAACCCCTTTGTTCTGTTTTCAAACCAACACTCATGACTGAAAGTGACAGAGTTGGACTTGTTTTATGTGTCAGCACTAGGCTCCTCTGATGCTTTTGTCTGGACTTCCTTCATCATTTTATTCTTCACTGGCCATATTTTACATCGCAATTTCCTTACATGTCTCTCCCCCCCCCACTTCCCTCCCTGAGCTGATGCGATTTGAGCGTACTGTCGAGAGGATTTCTGTCCGTTAGCCACTGATCGTCCCGTTACAAATACACTTCATTAAACCTCAGCCTCATTCATCAGCAGCCTGACTTAGAGCTCAACCAATTATTTACAATAGATGTGTGCATCCCACCCCCCATCGCCTCACTGGGGCGCCTCGGATCAAACAGATCATTTGTTTCGGATTCCGGGCATGCCTTTGTTTTAGTAAACGCACACTTTCAAAGAAGGGGATCACTTTCTGACACAAGGACATGATGCTGCACCCCTGAGTGTGACTTGGTCAGGTTTAAATGTGCTCATTTTAAAAAGCCTTAAACAGCCTTAAATAGAATAACTGCATAGTTTAAAATAATTAGTTTGGTAGGAGTTTTTTGTTAGAAAATGCTTATCTCAGTCAGATATTTTGTTGGTTGGTGGTGTTCAAAGACTGATTCGGGAATTTCCATCCATCCATCCATTTTCTGAACCCGCTTGTCCATGCAGGGTTGCGGGGGGGCTGGTGCCTATCTCCAGCGGACAACGGGCAATCAGGCGGGGTACACCCTGGACAGAGTGCCAGTCCATCGCAGGGCAGATTCGGGAATTTGAAACTATTTTCTTTATTTATTGATTTTTTTATTAAATTATTTTTTTTTTTTCCAGATGATGTGATTCTGTTGATGGCGACAGCCCAGGACGTTGTAGTGGACCTTCAAGTTACTCCAAGGCAACGGTGAAGTTTAAGTGTGTATCCTGTTCAGGAACATAGCATGTAGAGAGCATGGCCTGGTTGACAGGGCAAGATTCAACCCTTATATGTCCCAAGTGCATGTTTTGCACAGACAGGTGTATTTTTATGAGTAGCTTTGGCTACGCTACTGTAATTTATCTATTTTTTGGGGAGAATGTGTATTTTTGGGGGAAACATAAAAAATAATTTTAAAAATCCTCTACTCCATTTACGAACACTGAAATCATTTTGTAGCGTAGCTGCCCCAAGTGCATTTTTTGTGCCATTGACTCGCATGCAAATATTTTTTTCTAATAAGCCTAAATATTAGCATATAAATATTTTTATTATACTGTCTGGGTTCCCAGGGCAGTTGCAGACTCAATTTTGACTTTTTGATATTTTCCACTAGATTGTGCTTTTTCTTTGCGTTTACCGGGGAAATCACTAAAGCTGCGTACAAATATTTTATTATATTTTATGAGGACTGAAGTCAAGGACATAATTCATGTAAAAATATTTGGAAGTCATCAACAGGTGCGGCACCCCGAGCCGGCCAGAAGGACACATGACCCGTGCCATATGTACTTTAGGCCAGATTTTAGCCACCATTATTTTTCAACAACTGGACATCATTGTTTGAATGCTGTTAAGCATTTAGCTTAGTCCTGAGAACACCCAACAGTCTGTCCGTCCGTTGCTGGCTGCGGTGTAATATCTGAGTACCGGGTTGAGCTTCTGTTCCTGATATGGGAGACACATTTGAATGATCAAGTCGTCCAGCTGGTCCTCAAAAGTCCTTCCAATGCCTGTGTCGACTGGTTAAGATTTGTCACCATTCTAACCAGCCATTATTTATCATCCTCATCCCAACATGACACATAGGCCCACATTCATTGCATAAAATTGGCCCAAATGACGCCATTGATTGGGCGGGTAGATGGATGGTGGTCAGACAGCCGTTTAATGTGACCAGCCCCCCCTCTCCTCCCCCTTCTCTGGCCCGTGTCAGCCTTTAGAGCTCACAGTAAATCAGAGTCCACAGAAGGCAGCATAGATCACCGCTAACAACCTCCCATCAACAAGTAGACAAGCACCGGGTAAATACCACAGCAGACAGGAGACTTTTCTTTTAATAAACACGTTTCTCTGTTTTGATTTATCACAGCAAAAAAAAAGGCCAGTCTCTAAATGTCAGCTAATGCACAAACAACATTGACTGTTTCCCGTTTTTATTTGAGTGAATATATTTTGAAATCAGTGTTTCAGAGAGCGGTTCAGTCACATCCGTGTTTTAACTCTGTCTGCGCCGCTTTTGTGCGGCTCTGGGATTGTGTAATCGCTCTGACTGACAACACCATTCAGAACATTAGGCTTTGTGTCCTTGAGAGATTTCAGCCTCTTTGTAAAACTCGTCTGTGTATCCTAGTGTTCAAGAACTCTCTCAAGAGATTGTCAAATTTGAGAAAACATGGTCAAAATCAAAAGAAGGCATAATATCCCAAGTTTTAAATTCAGATCATATTGATTTTTAAGCCTGGCTGATTGAATTACATCAGAAACGGGAGCCTAAATAAATAAAAAAAAAACCTTCTGCTGATACAAACCGCTCACACGGGACAATACCATCAAATACCGCCACTCATCCGAGATGTGAGGAGAACGCCTCTGAGAGCGGAAAAGGAGATCTTTAGCTGAGGGTTTCTTTTTGTTTTCCTTCACAAGGCTTCCATTCCCTCCTCTTGAAAGGCAATAAAAACAAACCGTGTACGTTAGTGGGCGGGGGGTATCATCAATTTATCTTGTTTATGGAGGCGACAGGAGACCGCTCAGCTATTGTCTCTGCCTCTCTGCCACGATTGGTACAAAGCTCAGGACAAGGATTTAACCAGCTCCATCTGCCTCCCCCTGCACTCCCCATCCGGCTCATTCCTTCAGTCCGCCGTTAACGTGCACGCTGCACGCCTGTCCCATTCTTCCACACCCATCGTGTGCTCTCTCCCCCTGCACCTAGCCCAACCCGTCTTTCTTCATTGACTCTGGTATCTCAATCATTGACTTCTCTGACCCTCTGACAGCCTTGACTTGACATTCAGACACCGTGTTCAGCTCCTGTTTGTCTCAGTCAACACTGCCCGGGGTATTTGATCCATGCACAGACTTTCGATAAGCAGCACGGCGAGTCCTGTCCACCTCTGTGAGACATCTATGGTTTAAACTGGCAAGAATCTAAATCCTTTCTCTGACACCGGTGAGCTGATGCAACCTGTTTTCTGTGTCAGAGGACAAGAGTTTTAGAGCCAGCAGCTTGAGCCCTGGTTTACCTGTACTTTATGTGTCAGTGGTTATTTTCTGTGAACTAACTACCATGGATGGCAGCGCGATCAAGGCCTCGTCTTTCAGAGTGCAGCGAGGGTTCAAGGAACTTACGCTCAGGTTTCTCCCTCCTGTCACCTTTAATGTTGTTCGTTTCAAAAAGGAACAATTAAAACTAAAGTCCTCAAGGACCACTATCCAGCAGTTTCCTCAGTTCTTTTCTGAATGTCTGTTGCTCGCCGACTCGGAACACAGTCAGTTTTAAAACTTGTATTTTGTGCATGCACACTAATGTTATACGAGAGGAAGCGATGCACCATGAGAAGGTATTTCTGCACCGTGAGCGAGTAAAACAGTTTTTGCGTCCACCAAATTGTGCACACGAACCCAAAGGGAAAACCAACCGCGGTGTGCAAGTGAGAGTAGCAGCAGAGACTTTTGGACATACACATTGTTTTAGTCATGCATGAGTAACTGGTACCAGGAAGGTGCACCCCTGCACTCACAGTTGTGTCCTCAGCACAAACACAATGAGACAGCCCAATCAGCTGCTGGTGTCGGGTTTCAAGGAGCTACAAGAGAGGGAGTGGTGGGGAGGAGAGACACATAGAGCACAATTGGCCCTTTTCACGTGACATCAAGCCACTCATGTGACTCCCCCTTCGCCATGATGGACAGCAAAAAGACCGTTTACACCCACTGAAACTCCAGTGAAGCTAGTCAAAACAAGCCAGTTTGTAGCCTTTTATCACTTTTATTTAGTTGATTTGACAGTAAAATGGTTTTATCTTGCTGCGTGGTTGGCTGCACTAAGAGACAAGGGCGTAAACTCAACTCTTTTTTTTTTTGTTTTTTTAAGAACTTTGATGGAGACTGAGGACGGAGACGAACTGCAGCGATCAATCAAGCGGACTAGCAGCCCTCAGATTTGCAGCGAACATGTTTTTACCGGGTAAGATTAACGTTCATTTATTTCACGAGGAAGACGGGGACAGGGATAAATGTGATGTGTTTATACAAGTTATTGATTATATTGATGGATGGGTATTTCACCACGGAGGCTGTGCACCGTCCACTGTAGTGTAAAGCGAGATAATTATTAACAATATTAAAGCTCTGATGTATACGTGTGTTAAAATTACGTTATTTATTTATATGAGCGTCACCGTTCAGAGATCTTCTCATTCCGGTGTGAGAGCAGCAGCTGACCCGGGTAACACCACCATCAACAAGGGATCTGGACTTTTTAACAATCAGCTTTGGTGTAAAGTGAAACGCTGTTTATAACATAAAGTTATAAATCCAGAGGGGTGAATTCAGGCAAAGTCAGCAACATGTTTACATCGATGAACAGCTGCAGAGAGAACGTAAGCTAACGTTGGTAAGCCCTGGCTAGATGCGCTACTTCTTCTGATAACTGAACTGGGCATGAACTAGTTGAAGGAATGCTGGAGTTTTGTTTTGATCACAAAAACAATTTCAGGCTCTACTTTTCCCTTTGTTTAGTACTCGTGTCGCTGACTGTTTACATGCTTTTGCCGTCCACCATGTTGGACCCACGTGATTAGGTGACGTCGGTGCAAAGGGTCAATATGGAGGGACCATGGAAGAGTGGTTTCTGAGCTAAACTGCAGGAAAAGCAAGTGTGTGAAAACACCCACACATCACCCATGGTGGGGGCCCTCAAGGACCAAGGTTTGAGTCCGCTGGCTTTAAGTTTAATTCTGGATGACTTTGTCACCAAAGCACAGCGGCAGTGATTGTACGTGCTTGTAGACCGACTATAAGCAGTTTGCCATCTGGGCCAGTGCGGATCGGGCTGGGTATGTTAACACACACTCCTCAGGAACGGGGAACCTCCGAGCATGTGGGCGGTACAGAGACCTGCCGCAGTTTCAGTCAGCGGCAACGTTTACTTCTCAGCATCCAGAATGATAAATCGCGCATGTGGGAAGCCCCCGCTGGCTGATTCTGTCTGCCAATCAGAGGCTCCCCCTAATGGTAGGTGTGTATTTGAGCCAGCCAATCAGTTGTAGTGGGCGTGTTGGCCCGGACCAGCCCTGAGTGGACCACTGGAGGAAAAGCATCGACATATAAATATTGGACAATTGGTTTCCATAGACTCCAATAACACATTTTTGAAGATAAATGGGAGGTGACCACCACCGCCATTTTGACCGTGTCACAGGTTCCGTCAAGCCCAGACAATTCTACAAAATGGAAGAGAGGTGGAGCTGAGGGTGGGGCTGTGAGGCTGAGATCAACTGACGACACCCGGTCGAACTAGCTACAAGCTAACCTGAAGCTAACCTGAAGCTAACCCAAAGCTAACGCGGAGGTGGTAGCTAAGCTAACGGAGGTAGCAACCTAGCTACAACCGGAGTTAACTGTGCACAACACCAGAGCTTCTGAGTCAGAAATACGCCGGGCTGACCGCTGGGTAAAACCGGGTGGAACACAGAGGTCTCCGAGACCTCCACAAGCCGGCAGCCGCACAGAAGACAAGCGCCGCTGCGATCTGAGATGCGCAGAGCTGCCACTGGGGAGAACCGTGTGGAAAACATCGGTTTCCATCCAGAGCTTCACAAGCCGGCAGTCCGTGCAGCAGACAGAAGCCGCGATCAGACAGAGATGCACCGAGCTGTGGGGAGAACCAGGTGGAAAACATCGGTCTCCTGAGAGCTCCACAAGCCGATAGTCGGAACCCAGCTCCACCAACATGTTGTATTTCTACCCATTTTCTAAAGTGCAGCATTATGTTAAATGCACTGGGTTTTACCCTACTACATTTAAATTTCATGGTTAAACAGTACATGTTAAAATATAAGCTAAGCTCGGCAGTGACCTAAAATACATAAATGTAATTTTACTTAACGAAAAAAATGAAGTGGAGACTCCTTGGACGCTCAATTAGTGCAATTAATGCCAGAGCAAGTCATTTTGTCCAACAATTGCACAAAAAACATCCAAAAAAGAATACACACACACAGAGACTCAAAATCCCGGAACAGTTTCCAAGCCAGACCGAGGCTCTACTGAGGCCTTTCCCCGGAGCTAGCTCTGTGGTCACGTGGGTCGGATGCTCATTAATTATACAGAATTTTAGGCTTTTAATACACTTAAACAGAAGAGTGAGAAAAAAATTCACCCCCCTCAGAGTTGTCATGAGTGTAAACTAGATCATTTAAACCAAAAACATGTTTTGGTACCAGGCTGTAAACATGTTTATTTCTGCTGTGAAATTGGTATTTTTAACATGGGAGTCAATGAGGATTTGGTCGTTTCTGACACCAGCCCCCAGCGGATGAGGGTGGAACTGCAATTTTTGTCACTTCCGCGTAGGCCTCAATTTTTCACCCGCATTGTGGGGGCTTGAGGATAAGGGACGAAAAACCACCCGGTAGGAGAGGCAAAAGCACCAGGCCACCCAGGTATGGTCACAATATGAAGTGTAGGCCGGGCCGAGCGGTACCAGATGTGAACACATAGACAACAAATGGCAGCTTTAGGAAACAAATGGCAGCTTTCTCTCAGATATTCAGATGCTCAAACTAACTGAAAATGTTTTGATGTTTAAACATCACTAGGTTCTGCACAAACTTGACCAAACGGTTTTGACATTTATGACCTCCAACTAATGCATTTTGTTGCCAATACCTAGCCAGATTTTTCATAGAAACCTAGACCTACAAATATTTTCATGCAAAACCCCAGAAATAAAGCATCTAGAGCCCCTCTCCTGACTTCCGTGATCTCAGGTGGAAGCAACGACTCTCGTCGACACACTCCTCTAGCCTGGCAACAGAGCTGAAATCCCTCGTTTAAAGATTATTATCCTCATCTAATGCTGTTTATTAATTTATTTACCTGTTCATTTAAAAGGTCTCCAACTCTGCATCAATGCAGGTATGTCTGGTTCTATGTAAGCAGATGGCTACCACTATTGGTGAAGTATGACTGGATGGGGCTCTAGAGGATGGAGGCAGGCTTATGTGTTGTTTACATCATGTCACAGTCCAGGGTAAGACTATCACCTACATTATTCCTGACAGGGTGAAAGCTCGGTATTGCAGCTTTAAGTCGTTTAGATTAAGTAACCATAACTGATATTTTAGATGTGTAACTATTGAAATGCCTAATGCAAGCCTAAGCCAAACTGAATAGCTAATATTTGAAGGGTAATCTTAAGCTATCTGTGGCCTCGTCATGGTGAAGCTCCTGTTGGAATAGCTGATTATTTATCGGATATTTATCAACATCATCTTATTAAAAACTTTCTCACCTGGCAGAGGAAACTTTCCTTCTGTGTCTCTGTTGCTCTTGTGCCCCCCCCCCCCCCCCCCACCCACCCCCCCGCCCCCCCCACCCCCCAAGGATAACAAACTATTCTCGTTCTCTCAGACTTTCCAACAACAGCTGACTTCACATCGCGCTGAGTGACATCATCACGAGATAGTGCGGTGGTGGAAGCACAGTTTACCAGCAGAAGCAACAGGCAGCAGCATGTGGAGCTGCTCCTTCAGCCAACATTCCTGTGAAATGTTTATGGAGACAAATGTGGAGACAAGCAGTAAGTCAGCCGGAGCGCAGCGACAGAGAGGCGATGCTGATTTTGCTCGGCTCTTGGAGAGTCGAACCTTAAGTTTTGTGTAAACTTTCTACCAAGTTTCGTTTTGCTTCAACACGTGAATAAAGTGCACACTCCCAGCTGAATCTTGAATTTGAATTTTGCACTTTGATTCTTTTCTGATATGAAAATAAAGTGTGAACAGCTTCTGACATGGTTTATATTTTACCCTCAGTTTTGACTGCAGGAACCAGGTCCAATCCAAACGAGTGCTCTGTGAGGCCCTGCACCAGACCTTCTAAATCCCATTCCCAATGAATTTCTCCGCTTTGCCTGTACACCCCGTTATTAAGGACTTCTGATTGGCCTGCTGCTCTCAGCATTTTGACTCTTACCCCCAAATTCCACTACCTCCGCTCCGCTCCGCTGCGGTCCGCCCCCGCCTTCCGCAGCCGCTCGCTTCCGAACTCAATTTTTACCGGTACGCGCTCTACAACGGCTCCGCTCCGGTGCGGAGACCTGAGGTGGGCAAACAAGCATGCGCGGGATTTTCAAGATCTTGCGATACAGTCCGAGCAATAAACGCGGAAGTTAGATCCAAACACCCGTTGTGTGGGAGAAGCATCGGCATGAACTGTTCAATCTGCCCATCATTTGTGTTGAGATCAGCAGTGTTTGGATCAACAAAATGTGACTACTTTGATAGCGGAAACTGTATTTATGGCTTACTTTTGGGCATTTAAAGTTCAGCCGCCATTGATAGTTGTTAAAAGTTGTTAAACCTGTGCATATGAAACAAAAAACGCCTTTTGTTTATCGATTTATTGTGAAAAACGGAAGTTGTGCTTGCTCCTTTTCCTGTTGGGCCGTTGTGATTTCTGTCCATTGATTGCGGAGGTGCTCCGGCGTCCGGCAAAAATAGGATCGATTCTATTTTTGCCGGACACCGGAACAGAGGGCGGCGCACGGCGCCGCACTGCCGGAGCACGGCCGCAGTAGTGGAATTGCTCTGATTGACTACAACGGGACCGATTTTGCTCCGGCGTTCGTGTCGGAGCGGAGCGGAGCGGAGCGGAGGTAGTGGAATTTGGGGGTTAGCCATTTTGAAATTTAATTGTAAACCAGTAGAGTTTTGATATACACAATGACTCAAAGCATAGAACGATATCTTCTGCAACATCGTTTTAGTTGAATTCAGGGAAACTTATGCAGGGCTTCATCTTACACCTTTTCTCACAAATTGTATAACTGGAATGCAGAATTACTAGTTTAAATGCATGACATCTTTTTTTGTAACTGTATCTCTTAATATATATTTATTTATTTTGTTTTTGTTATGCTTGTTTGATTTGCCTACTTTGTGGTCTTTTAATCCCTTATTTATGTTAAAAAAAAGGGTTCACCAAATGCATTTACTGGTTAAAAATGGTTCTTTGCACTAAAATGGGTCCAACCAACGTGACGACATGCATCCTGCAGTACTTAGATACTTAGGAGGCAGAAGGCTTGTACAACAGTTAAAGATTTAACATGGAATAATTTAATAAAAAGCTATATATTCTTTTAAATAACACCTCGTTGGAGCGTTTAGAGGTGTGTGGAAGGAAGGCACTGTATTTCCTTTAAACGCTGTATTTTAATTAAAAAATAATCAAATATTTATTGTGACACGCACGCCACTGGGTTTATGTGTACATCTACCAGCAAGTAGAGGGCACCATTGTGGGTTGCCCAACAGTCTGCTCAGCTCAGTGAGGCTGGCACTGTGGAAAATGGCGGCCACAGAAAGTCAGACAGCTGCTTCTGAGCCCAGAAGATGTCGTTTTCCTTCGTAGAAGAGGAGCGACCATAAAATGTCTAAAACCAGAGTGAGTGTAGGTGAAGTCTAGATGGACCCAGATAAAAAAGTTGACGTATCGGCAGCAAACCTGGCGCACCGACGGCTGGAAACCTTGCTCTACTGCTGCAGCTACAACCGCCACACACTAGATGGAGCTTTGGTGTTCACGTTCCATATTCCACCTTTAATCACGCAGAAACCGGAGGAATGTACCAATCCTGTTGAAGAGAGAGCGGTTTGAGAATTTTATGGAGCAGATTTGATACATTTGGTTTTAACAAGTTGAAGAACTGAAAGAATAGAATACCCCTGAGAACTTCAGACTGAAGCATTGTTCTTTGCTGACATCACTCTCCACAGTGAGACAAATAAACCACATCCAGAATAAAACTACTGTAAACTACAGAGTTGGAGCTATGTAAAAGGTCCAGAGGCTCCACTGAGGTTCATTGTTTACACTTCAGTCTGATCAAATACTTGTTCAGTGATCAACCCAGTGATTTTAAACCAATTCAGAGCAGAGGAAATAGAAAATCTTGCAAAACGACGATGAAAATGGTTTTCATCTCACAGGACAAACTGCCTACAGAGAACTTCAGGTTGTTTGGTTCACCCTGTTTGAGCCGTCTGGTTCTTTATGTCATAATAAAAGCAGAGGACTGGATCCGGCTGCTCCAAACATCCCTGGACCATAAAGGACCTCAGCCAGGACACCATTAGTACAAGAACCACCGCTGTTGTAAACGATGGCTTTTGCTTCCACACTCAGTAAATACTGGTGGTCTTGAACTGCCTGAGAAAACAGAACTGATGCTTGGTTTTGGAGTTTGGGCTTCATCTGAGTTCCTGGATGATTAGACGCAGCAGAGACAAAAAGCAACCCACCAGCAGAGCTGCAGGTAAAAGCATCCAAGATAACGACCTCCATCTTGTTTTCCCTTTTCTTTACTGTCACCTCTCCTTCCCTGCCATCACTGTAACCCCCTCATCCCCTTGTGTTGTCGTGGCAACGCTTTGGCCACCCCATTACGGTGCCTGTGTGTTTGTAAGTGGAGCTGCTGCTTTACCGCTGTTGGTTTCTGCATTTTTTCTCCTCACTTTAGTCTTTTGAAAGAAAAAAGAGAGAAAGAATCAAAAACGCAGGCCAAGAGGAGGCGGGGAAGGAGGCTGGTTTTGAAGAGGAGGCTGGGGGTCTGATGCAGCGGCTCCAGCAATCGTTTAGCGCTTCCTTCTTCTGCTTTTATCTGCCCTCAGAGCTGCTTTCTACATTTCCTTTTGTCTTGGAGGTTGGAGGCTGCTCGCCGCTCCCGTAAAAAGAGGCAGTGTGAGAGAGCAGCTGTGAAGTTTATTAGGTTGATGATGCACACACTTCTTACCCTGTCTCCTTTGCACATCTCACCTCATCTCTATCCATCACACACACACACACACACACACACCATCACTGACACACACGCAGACTGTATGGCGCTATTAGATGCATTGATGAGGACGCCTTTTTCAAAGAGAATCCACAATGAGAACAAACATCCAGAGCAGATGAAACATCTCCTTTGTGTTCAGCTCCAAGAGCACAACGCAATCTAATGAGGAGCCGTGTGAAAGGTGTGTGTACACACACTCGATGTGTGTGATTAGTACATTTCTTCTGTTTGTCTTTTCTGCTTTTTTCTCTGCACGCCACAACCTTGTGACAAGCCGAGTGTCTACATGGGCAGACTGACAGGTGTGTGTGTGTGTGTGTGTGTGTGTGTGTGTGTGTGTGTGTGTGTGTGTGTGTGTGTGTGTGTGTGTGTGTAATCTCCCAGATAAAGTAGGTAGATAGAAGCAGCAGATAGACAGGGGCGTTAGAGATGAGATTGCAAGAGGGGTTTAAAGCTGAGGCTGTAAATCACTTAACCTGGGGCTAATGGACTTATTGGCTGTCCTACAATACACACACACACACACACACACACACACACACACACACACACACACACACACACGGTTGACCTTTCAAACACATGACTAACACCGTTCGTTTCTGTGATGTTGGGCCCTAAAGCAACACTTTGGACATTTTGAAGTAGGAACTCAGTAGGAAGGCTTTATCAGACCTGCTGTAGATCGCTCATTGAACAACCTCAAGTTGAAATCACCGGGCTCGCTCCATCCCGGACGACCTAAACGCCATCCCTAGCATAGTCCAAGCCAGAGTGGATTGTTGTCTTCTTAAGCTCCATTTCAAAATGATTCAAGAAAAATGTTTTAGGGCAGTTTAGCTGTTGGCTTGGGCGCCAGCACTTGGGGAAGCAGATTTCGACAGGAGATGTCACCTGGACACCGGTGTCATGCACGCATTTGGTAAAATGGTAAACGACCTGCATTTGATATAGCACCTTCTAGAGGCCTGGAACCCCTCAAGGTGCTTTACAACACAGTCAGTCGTTCACACATTCACACACATTTACACGCTGGTGGGGATGAGCTACAATGTAGCCACAGCTGTCCTGCCATCGACAGAGGCGAGGCCGCCGAGGACTGGCGCCACTGGTCCCACCGACCACCACCAGCAGGCAAGGAATTTAGTAACAAGCGGGATTATAAATCAGCTTTTATAGCCCCGTTAACCTGCTTTCAATGTTTTTTTCCTTCTGGGGATCCAGAGGTAGATGGGCGTGGCTTAAGCTCCCTGTCATTAAGCCAGTTTTTTATTTTTTGTAGTAATTTAAATTTCTTGTTAAATGGAACTTCAGATCCTGACTTGTGACCATTTATAAAACCTAACTAAACGCATCAAAATGGGTGATCAATACATTTTTGCTAACAAACAAATTCCTAAACTTAATGCTTTACTTTTAGTTAGATAAACGTGCAGGACCGTTATTAAGTCTTCTATTCGCAAAGAAATACTGACCTATCTTAGTAAAAAAGTCACATAGCTCTGTTGTTTCATTTATTGTTGAGCACATTTTTTCTTTTTCTGTTATAATTTAAAGTAACACTCATTTTTATGGCTTGTGATTTGCATCTTGCCAAGTTTGGCTCTTCTCTGTAAAAGATTCAACACCACAGAGTTTGAGATACTGCAACTAGAGAACATTTCCCTTTTCCAAACTTAACTAAAACCAACATGAGCCAGCTTTAATTGTGAGTTCATGTATTTATTGGCTAATAAAATTAAACAGTAAACCAATCCATATTTTTAAAACTATTGGTGTTACATGTGACTTCTATCTTGGTGTGAGTGGCAGCTCCTCTGTCAGGTTTGACGTGATGGCGGGTTGAAAATCAGCAGACCCAGCCTCTGGCTTAATCGTGATGACTTACCCACCAGTCTGAAACTAAAAGTAAATAAAGCCACTGATACATTAAGCCAGGTTTT